CCAGGACTCGTTCTTCGTACAGCCAACCCGCATTTTCTTCAGCAAGCACGGGTGAAGGTCAAGTCGGTGGGTCGGTGGACCAGGTGTCCTCTAGGTGAGCCTGCATAGTGTGTGCGTATATTTATATTTATTTGTTTTTTTAACTCACATATTTTTAGTTGTTTATTTATTTGTCTTTTTTAACATTTTGGGTAGAAAGTTTTCTGTTTACATGATTTACATGTTTTTATTTATACACATGAATACATTACCTACCTACCTACCTACCTACCTACCTACATACATACATACATACATACAAGTATAAGTGTGTTTATATATATATGTATATATATATAACGTATATATACACTGTATATATATATATACACACTCATTTGTTTGTTTGATCAATTGGTTTGTTCATGTATGTATACATGATCACCGTTCGCACACGAACAAAACAGCATGTGCGCATACCGCACACACACACACAAACAAACACACACACACACACACAAGTGCTCGCAGAGAGGGTTTTCCGCGTTGCATGCTACTTCCAAGTGTTTGCAGTACTAAGTTCTTAATCGCCTTGTGGATTGTGCTAATGAGTAGCAGGAAGAAAGCCCCTGGAGGATAGCTTAAAACCCTAACGGAATTGTGTGAAGCCTTGCCTGCCTGGTGCGAGCGTGAGAGTCCAAACCCTAAACCTCGCAATACATATAGGGCTGAGAGCGCCGCTGGAACTAGCTGCACTGCTGGGATGAGGGAGGTGTTCCTTTCGTGTAGTACATGGGGCATAGTCGTTAGTGGGATGTTGGTGGTGAATCCCCTCTGCCCGTCGTCGGTGCCGAAACCTCAGCCTTTGAGGCCTTCCGACTTAGTTAACCGCTCAGGAGGAAAAGAGGTGTCAAAAAAAAAAAACCTCGCAATACTGGTTCGGACGACATTGCCTACTAGGCAGATTCACCTCGCAGATTTTTCCCTCTTTTGCGAGAGCGAAAAAAACCTGCGAGGTGAATCCGCCTTAATGTGTCGTACGAACCAGTATCGCTACAGACCTTGCCAGGCTTGTCTGAGGATAAGTGTCAAAAAACGCTTTCAACCATAAACCCTAGCCGTAGCCCTACCTTCTAGCCTACAGCCTTACCCTGGAGCTTAAATGGCCCTAAATGCCGCAAGCCTTCCTTCTTCAACCTCAAGGATGCCTCGGGCCCTCCATTGTAGGCCGTAAGTGCAGGGGGTGTACGCTCCTTCGGAATTTTGTTCAGACATTTGCGTTTTTTGGAACATCACAACTACCCCCCACCAAGACCCAGTCATAACCGAGGGGCAGACCCGACGGCGGATCGGTTTGAGGTACAGCAAAGCGGAGACTTCTGCGTCCCATACCACATCCGTGAGCAAGTAGATGAATGTTCGAGGGTCTCTATAGGGTTGCAAGGCGTTTAGGAGTACTTTAACTGTAGCTTTTGGGTCGGATACCGGTGTCGAGCTGATCTCTTCTCCGAGTTGGCCCCAGCATGTCTCAGCGACGTATTTTGGGACCTTCAAGCCATGTATCGCCCTGTCCATATCTGACGGGAGCGATATCTCTGAATTCGCCAGACAATGGTGTAGAGTTGGACTAGACGCGTGCAGCACGGTGGTGCTACAGGGGCAAGAAGACACATCCAAAAGGGCATGGAAGTTGTCCAACTCTGCATGTGCCTTGCCAGAACGCTTCCAGTGCTCACCCCTTCCTGCCGCCACATAGGCCACAGCAACAACTACGTGCAAACCGATCCAAGTAAAGCCAGTTACTTGCATTCCGTGTTCATGGATGATGAGACTACAACTGCTTTGTTTCTACCGGTGAACTCTTCCTCTGCACAACCCTGCCGATCTTCCGAAAGCCTTGGACCTACAGGGCTGGACGCCCCACCCCCCGAACTTTGAGCTACGGAAGCGCTGCAATTATTGGGGAGAGTGTGTGTGTGTGTGTAGGGTGCTCAAGCAACCCCGCCCACTGAAGATATGTCCGAGTAAGCTTTGAGCAGGAGGGGCTGAGCGCAAAACTGACCCTTGCAAGAGGCAAAGTGAACAAGCAGGGACGAGACTCTGAGGCTTCGCCAGGAGTTAAAATTCCGGGTGTAGGATTGGATCCCCCGAATGTGCTGCGAGCAGGACTTGTTACCCGGAAGACTTGAACCCAATCCTTTTTCAATTTCTCGGAAACTTGGTATGTAGATAAGGACGCTCGATCGGCTTTGCAAGCTTAAATCTGGTGACAGATGTCAAAAACAAGCATTCATGAGTGCCTTCTCAATGCTGGTGTACAGAGGTCTTTCCAGCAGATGCTTTATGTGACATATCCCAGAACATTGTCAAGCGCCCTTGCAAGTTGTCGCGACCGGTTCGCATAGGTTCCAGCAGCACTTGCCATTCGTTTGGCCCAGCTCGGGGCTTGGGAGGAGACGCGTCCAGGCATGAACTCAGTCTTATAATGATTTAGAATACTTCGTGCTTCTTATGACTAACGTGCTTGGGATGATTGACGGATATAGTGAAGGCCTTTACCCGTCGCGGCTTGTCCGGCTGATTGACTCGAAGTGGTTTTGCTTGCTTCACTGTTGGGCCGTTCAGCTGACAGACTGCTACCAGTTATCGCATTCAGCCAAGGTCAGGAGTGACATGATGCCAAGGTTGCAAGAACAGCTTTCGGGATATATATAGGACTTGCCTTTACCGAGGGTGCTCATCGCTCGGCCCATCACATTGAGACACGGCTTCTCCCCTTTTGGCCTATGAACAGGCTCCGAGCCGACTGCTTAGTTATACTATGCCGCGTCCATGCGGGCGTGGCTCTTGCAGGAAGAGATATTATGCACTGCTTGTCTTCAGAGTGGAGCTCAGATCGTTCGCGCCAGGATTTGCCTGTAAATACGACCGAAATGATCATCATGATTAGTGTATACCTTGAAGGAGCTCTGAAGCCGGTGCAGTGCTTGCATTCAAGAGAGGAGAAATATGTACTCTCTGTGGGCAGATGCTGGTAGCCCTAGCATCCTAGGCTCTACTCGGGCCGGTGGGTCTGCACAATTTTGCCAGCATTCTGCCACATGCACAGTCAGTGTTTGAACTCGAACACTGGCGGGGAAGGGGATTGGCCCTTGATACGGTTCCTATTGCATGCGACTCCCATTGGTCGTCCGACAGCCAGCTGTTGTTGCCAAGAAGTTTGACATCTGTTTGATAATCTGCGTCGCAGCGCAATGGATGGGGCGTCTCCGCATCGACGATTTGCCATGCCATCAGTGAAGGACCGAGGATAGTGACAGGTCCTTGCAGCCCGTCCTCCCGACTCTTCACGTCCGATTGCAGTGACTCTGAGTGTAATGCACGCTCCCGCGACGTAGTCGGGTTCTGTACTGTGTGGGTTCCATAACATATGTATGTATGTATACATACGTATATATATATATATACACACTCATATTTATTTAACATCAAATACATGCCACATGCAGCAGTGGATCAAGATCCGTGAGGCGGGGGCTGCCCTGGCCAGGGCATTATCGGAACGCGAGGGCAGTTAACCAACTCACAGCCAAGACCATGCAAGCGCAAACTGGAAAAGGTGCCTTTGTGCATAGGCCCGCCCTTCTTCGTGATCATGCTTTCGACTAGTGTGGAAGACAGAAGACGACTCGAATACGAAACGACCCCCCAGCTGACCCGTCGATTTCGACACGCTGAAAGCTGATTCGGACCATGGTTGGACTTCAAAGCGGGGCGACCCAAAGCCCGTCGCAGAGGTCTTGCGCCAGTGCTCCATGATGCTGGCAGAAGTGGCGCTGGACGCTGCTGTGGGCGGCCGAGCCAGGTCACTGCAACCTTCTACTCGGGGTTGTGTGATCCACAGTACATTCGGCGAGAACAAAAAGTGTGCTAGTTCTGTGTTGCACGTCCTCGTTCAAATCTCACAAGCCTGAGCTGGATGATACTGACATTTGTGCTGTTGATGGCTGCAAGCTGCTGAGGGAACTGAGGACGCAGTGATCAGCCAATGCTTGCAATCACGAACCTGGCCCTGTTGCGCTTTGATATCCGGGCACAGCACCTCGAAGAAAATCACCAGTGGAGCTAAGCCGGCTCCGTATGAAGCTGCTCCAAGCAACCCATCTGGATGTAGTCGCAGCGGTGGTTGTGATGGTGGCGGTAGAACACCCCTAAACCCTAAACCCCACAGCATAGGAGGAGGCGGAGGAAGAGGAGGAATAGTAGCAGTGGCAGTTTGTGGAGGTGAAGCTGGCGTGCCTAGAGTCATCATTCCTGCAGTCCTTGCTCTTGTGGTCGAGGCAACGAAAGTCCTACGGTGCTTCCATGCCCAAGGTCTATTTGCCTGAGGTCTCCATCCCAGATATCTCCATGGAGGCTACCGTGCTGTAGCCCTCCGTGAGTTCGTGGACGTCCCAAGTTGTGTATGCAAAGTCTGGCCTTCGCTCGATATAGGTGCAACGTTTCCGGTCCGTTTCCCCTGACAGTAGCATTGAATTCAGTCATTCGAGGATCCGGGTCGGTCGCTCGACGGTTGGCTACGGCAGGTGGAACTGCCACCCGCCTCCTGCTCCTCATCCTCTTCGTCCTCGAGAGCCGGGCAGTTGGCCAGGGACTCGGGCAGAAAGGAGGCACTAACAACTGAAATCCGAAGAACGATCACTCTGAGTGCGAAGCATGTTTTGGGGTCCCAACCTGCGTGTCTGGTTTGTACTCGTTTTTGAGTAATCCTTCGTCAAGTCACCCCCTGATTCGTCCCTATATGGGTATTTGCTGACCAAAGCTGTTCACGCTGGTCGCAGGGTTGCTTTGTATAGGCCTTGCATGGTTGAACAGCGCGAAGCAAACACTGGAAACACCAGTATCTGTATGGCTGCGGCTCACGGTAGACCGGCAGAGCTACCGGCAAGTAAGCTGACAGAGGCGGATTTGTTGTGCTCATGGCTTTGGTCCTTGATTGACCCAGTCAGATTTCACAGACGATGCCTGCCGGCCGTTGCTTTCCGCTGCTAGTACTGACACATTTGCACTGGGGCCAGTCCTCCTTGGCCTCCTACGAAGGGTGGCGAGAGAAGTCAGTGACAGAAGCCAACGCAAGTGCAGCGGCTGCCACGGCGATTGCATCCCAATACTGCCGGACAGCGGGCGCCTCTGAGGTAATTGACGAGGCAGCAGCACGAAGGAGTCTCGAGGTGGGATCTGGATGGCGCGACCTCATCTTGCGCCTCTCAGACAGGGCTAGACAGGCCGAGGAGACAGGCGAGTGGTCGCTGGACGACACTCTGGACCCTGGCTTTTTTGTCAGGGAAGCTTTGATTGTGGTGCTGGCGTTGATACTGTGTGTGTTCTGGCTTCTGGCTTCTTGGTTCGTGCACTGCCCATGCTGCTGCCGCTTCTTGTGCTGCTGCTGCCAGCGGAAGTGGGCCACAGGGAAGGTTTTCAAAGGCTCGGCTTGGCTGCTCTTCAGCGCCTTGGGCATTGCCGGTGTGGTCCTAGCCTCGCGGGCCCTGACGGGAGCCACATACACCGAGGACGGCGTGCTGGGCTTTCGGTGCGCGAGCAGCACCTTCGTCAAGGATGTGCTTGGAGACCCGAGGAGCGGATTCTTAGCAGGGAGGAGCACCCTCGTGAATTTGACAGAGCTGCTGCGGAACGGCTCGTTCTTCTCCAGGAACCTGACTGCTATCCTCGATCGAACCTCTGCAATTGTCAGTACCGCAGGTCTTGCTGATGGCCTGCTCGCTGCTCTCATTGCCAACATGGCGGATCCGGTGAACAGAGAGCCTGTTGATTCGAGCGGGGCCACCTTGTATCACGAGTGCCAGGTTTGTGGGCCTTTGATGGGGCTCCTCACCGAAACATCCGACCTCTTAGGCGCCAGTGCGGGCATGCAGATGCGAGCACTACGCAGCCAGGCCGAGGTCTTTCAAAGCGAGGCGCCCGTTCACCTCCAGAAAGTTCTCAGGCGGGACAGAATCGGGCGTCGGGCTAAACTTAGATCCATCCATGTCCATGCGCGGTTTCTGTACATCCAGGGATCTTTTGTGAAAGTGATGAGCCATGCCTGAAAGGACCGATTCGACTGGCTTTCGGGGTCTTCTTTGCTAGCTGCGAAGTAAACCGCTGATATCGATGCAACTCGGATAGGGGCCTTCCAGGCAAGCGCTGGAGGCGTCAGACATGGCCATGGCTACCATCGTCGAGGACTATTGGAAAACACTACGAGGCTATGATCTCCGGGACCTGGGGCAGTTTCTGGACCACCTGCTTCCCTTTCTGCCACTGGTGGTCCTTGCTCCCCATGCATACTATTTCGTGCTGATGATGTTCGCCGGGGTCGGCCTCAGCGTGTGGTCCGTCAAAGACAGGAAAGGCGAGAAGCCAGATCACTGTTGTGTCCGGTTTTGCACTGGGCGAGCCGCAGACTGCGCGTGCTGGCATGCCATATGCCTCCTCATCATTTCGGGAGTCGCGGTGACTGTGGCTGTGGTTGGAAGTGGCATCTGCCTCCTTGTTATAGACACTGACAGAGAGAATGGTGCAAACCTGCTGCTTGCCTCTTGCGGGCCCCGGGACTCTGAGAATGATTGTCACCGATATGTAGAGATATCCGGCAGCATGCTTTCCTGTCTGACTACAACCTCCCCAAATACCAGCATCCTGGACTTCATTGAGGTTCCCCCCTTGAATCGGACAGTGAAGCACGAACTGACGGCTGCCATGGACCCTATTCTTCTGCAGATGCATGAGGTGGCGGCATCAGGCACAGACAAGCTGGCCGAAAACCCCAAGGTCACGGACCTTCTGGCCATGATCGACGTGCTTGATCTGAAGGCTCTGTACCTCCCTACAGAGTCCAAGATTTCCGGGAGCCCTTTTGAAGCCATGGCAGCTGACATCCCGGGCCTCGGTGATGAAGGTCAGAACCCCTTCAGGGCCTACCTGGCAAACAGCGTCTCCTGCCTCAACGTGACCTTGAGCTCATCCCTCAAAGCTTTGGGCAATCGCTCTGTCCCGGGCATCGATGCCATGGTATCAGATGGGTTTTCCGGCGTGCCGCCGCTGGCAACCTACATGGATGCACTCTCCTACTCCTGCCCTACAATCACAAGTCACGTGTGTACTGCCGGCCCGACGCACCAGGCTTGCGATGTCTCCGTGGCCTTTGTGAACAACATCAAACAAACCGTCGCAAAAGATGCGGTGTTTAGGTGCTCCTACCTCCTGCAGGGACACAGCGGCGTGCAGTCGGCCAGTGAGTCTTTCAGTGATGGCGAAGCCTCAAAGGTATGGAAGGCTTGCAGAATCGCGGAATTTGAGGCGCTATTGAAGGGAGCGGCAAGGGACTTGCGAGCAGTTTTCAGGCGGCTTGATGAGATTTCTGAACGGCTGAAGGGTGACTTCATCGAGCTGAAGGACATGGTCCGAAGAGAGGCAGGACTCTTCACACGTTGCCCGGGAAGAGCGTCTGCTAAAATCAGAGCAAGCTATAGCAAGTGTTTAAGAGTTTAAGAGAATGAAGCCTGGCCGACATTAGAAACCTCAGGTGGCCGATCCTCTCGCCGCGTTCCAGCACAGCAACTCTTGCCGAATCCATCACAACAACTTCAAGGCCATGTCGAGCAACCTGTGCTACCGCGGCATGTATGGACTGAACATGATTCTCACCAGCTTCACGATGTCCGGTCTCATGAGCCTTTGCCTTGGCTTGATACTCCTCACCGCCTGGAAGATCTCGAGAGACAACGCAGACACACACAAGCCCAGTGTCGTGGTGGCCGCTTCCGTTGAGGAAGACTTGCCACTTTTTCGGAACGCAGCCGTTGCAACATCAAGCCGGTCTGGGGAAGACCACTTCCGAATCTAAGGTAGGGGGCCTTTTGTGGGCAAACGCTACTATAGTAGCTATACTATCGGGATCAGGCTACAGTTATACCCATAAGGGCATACTACTAAACGAAAACTAAGTTAAATTACCTCTAATTGAATTTCAAAACGGCAGACCCCACATATGTACGTGGCTTCAATCAGCGAAGCCATTGAGACTTCTCGCACTGCCTTGCAGTTCAGCACCACACAAAGCTGGTGTTAGTTTATGTGCATGCCGAGTCTCCGCAGCTATTGATTAAGGTCCGTGAGTACCGATGCCGTGGCGAAGCACAGAGCATAAAATTAATCAAGTGTCACGTGAGGCTGTACAGAGGCGGTGTCCGAGCACGGCATGAATTTCATGCTAGTGCTCGCACGTCCCGATGACAGTCGAGAAAGCTCATGCATAGAGAGACCTCCGTCGCAGAACCCAACAACCCCCAGATGGCACACAGGGGCTACGTTGCGCTGGTGCGCTAAAGCCCTCGACGAGTTGATCCGTATATCAAGACCGCAAAGCCTCGGGATTGTCAACATCCTTCTTAGTAGCAAGTGCTGTTGTGTTGTTATTTTAATTGTTCTTTTGCTTACTATTCCCGTCATTATTCTTCTTATTCTGGGTTTTTCTCCGAAGGATGTTGGAGCCCTTTTTTAGCCCTGGATGGCTGCGGCATAAGATTCTGATACTTCGCTGCCTTCATGGTTAGACTACGGGCTTGTGGAGTAGATCATAGCATGATGGGTTGGGACTATGGTTGAGACTGTGCGAATCTAATTCCCTAAACCCTAAACCAATTGAGGGGGTTCTCAAAATGCTCCTTCAGGCCCAGATGCGGTTTGGCAGCCGCCGGATTCCGCGGCCAGTTCCGGCACAGGACTTACAAATGTGACACTGTTACCATCGCACGAGAATAAACGGGGTTTGAGCAAGGTGTTATTGACGCTGGTCTTTATAAGTTTCGGTCCGTGCATTGGCTAGATGACGCGGACATCTAGTAAATCTAGTGAAACTAGTGCTTTTGGCTGCTATTTTCGGCGTCGTAGTTTTGAGCTCTAGGGCCTGTTTGACCACGACTGAGTCAAGTCCAAGCACATGAGAACGGGAGACATGACAGGTGTATAGTTCAGGTTTACACGATACGCCCCCTTTTCGCGGAGGTGTGTTCATGTGCTTAGGAATCGAGCCATAAGCAGCTATCTCGTTGCTGCCGGACGGAGATGCAGAGTTCATAGGGCCCGTTTTAATTATTTGGTGGCAGTCGTACACTGGCGTTATTCAGGTTGTGGTTCAAGGACGAATCCACTCAGAGCCGGAGGCTTTTCCAAGCTGAGCCCCAATCAACAGCCACTCTGCCCTGCATCATTTGGGCGTCACAACCCGGAAGTATCCCTGAAACCTCATTAGCCCTAAACTTTGAAAGCCTCAACTTTGAAACCGTAAACCTGTGCGAGAGTGAGAGTCGAAAGCTGGAAACGCTCTTCGAGACCAAGGCTGCGGACCCGACCCACGAGGGAGTCCCTAGCTCGGGGGAGGGGCTTTGTTGTTGCGACTTCAAAGAGGGCCACATCCTTTGTCGGAACCTTGCACCGGCGCATGAATACAAGTATACATATATATATATATATGTGTGTGTACGTATATATATATATATGTATATATATATATATGTATGTATGTATGTATATATATATATACACAGGCAT